CGCCTTGCGATGGATGTGCGTGAGGGGTGGCACCGAATTTCAGAAATGTGGCAAATCCCATGTGTTTTTGGACCCTGACCCCGCGGATCTGCGTGAGGGGTGGCACCGAATTTCAGAAATGTGGCAAATCCCATGTGTTTTTGGACCCTGACCCCGCGGATCTGCGTGAGGGGTGGCACCGAATTTCAGAAATGTGGCAAATCCCCTGTGTTTTTGGACCCTGACCCCGCGGATCTGCGTGAGGGGTGGCACCGAATTTCAGAAATGTGGCAAATCCCATGTGTTTTTGGACCCTGACCCCGCGGATCTGCGTGAGGGGTGGCACCGAATTTCAGAAATGTGGCAAATCCCATGTGTTTTTGGACCCTGACCCCGCGGATCTGCGTGAGGGGTGGCACCGAATTTCAGAAATGTGGCAAATCCCATGTGTTTTTGGACCCTGACCCCGCGGATCTGCGTGAGGGGTGGCACCGAATTTCAGAAATGTGGCAAATCCCATGTGTTTTTGGACCCTGACCCCGCGGATCTGCGTGAGGGGTGGCACCGAATTTCAAAAATGTGGCAAATTCCATGTGTTTTTGGACCCTGACCCCGCGGATCTGCGTGAGGGGTGGCACCGAATTTCAGAAATGTGGCAAATCCCATGTGTTTTTGGACCCTGACCCCGCGGATCTGCGTGAGGGGTGTTGATTTCGAGCCCCCCCAGCAATTCAGACAACGCGCCCAGGGGGCGCTAAAAATCCCGTTTGGGCCTCCCCCCCCCTCGCGCGGTCAATCAATTAGTTACAGTAACCAGCAAGAAGCAGAACTGTAACACTGGAAACTACAAGCTACAACTGGTACTGGAAACTGCGAACCCGTGCCTCGCAGCCTGGTGGCCCCACAAGGGGGCCGGCGGATTTATCTTTCCTTATGCGTTATCCCTTGGGAGGAAAAAAAGGGCTTCGTTCCTTATTTATCGTTCCTTAGGTCAGGCCGATTACTGTAGGGGGACACGCCCGACCTCATCGTTGCCCCTCAGCGTTTGGGTGGGGCGCGGCGGCGCGCCTGGTTAGGGGAAGCCGAGCACGGGGCAAGCCCTCTCGGAGGGCGGCGGAGCAGCTCCCGAGCTCCCTGGCCCTCTGCGGACCCGCCCTCTCGGGGCGGACGAAAGGGGGGGATTGGGAAAGGGGGGGTTACGAAACTTGCTGCATGCAGCTGGTTTCGGCCCCACCGAGGGGCCCACTCCTCGATACATAGCCGCCTCTGGGGCCGGGAGGCGCCGGGAAAATCAGCTACGTGAGCTGATTCTCACCCCCCCCCGTTGCCATCCCCCCCTCGTGGGGCAACCAAAAGGTGCCGATGCCGCCGCTCCACGGAGCTCCCCCGGGGCGCGTGCTGACCAGGACTGCGAGGCGAGTCCGGCGGCGGCGACGGGGGCCTCGCAGGAGGCCCCCCCCCGGGAGTGCCTTGCGGGCGCGCCGGGCCCCCTTCTTTCTCTTCCGCCGCAGGGCGCGGGCAGCTCCCTCGAAGGCCAGAGGCCGCCCGAGCCCGCTGAGAGGGCCTGCCCCCTTCCTCGGGCGCGCCGCCGAGGGGCCGAGGCGAGCGCGAGTGCAGGCGGGGGGCGGGGGGAGGAGTGTGAGACGACGAGGAGGAGAAGGACGAGGAGGAGGAGGAGGAGGAGGAGGGACTGAGGGAGGCAGAGAGGAGGGTGTGATAGGAGTAGGAGGAGGAGGAGGAGGATGCGGAAGGAGGAGGTGGAGGATGGAGCAATGAGGAGTGGAGGAGGAGGGAGTAGGGAGGATAGAGAGAGAACGTAAGGAGTAGGCGAGTAGAGGAGGAGGAGGAGAGGCGATGAGGAGGGATGGGTCGTGAAGGTCGGCGGAGTGAGGGGGAGATGCGGCGGGGGAGGCGCGCGAGCGGAGAAGTCGTATGAGGCGTGGATGAGTAGAGGCGAGAGAGTGAGGCGTAGGAGGGTGTAGGTCGGAGGAGGAGGAGGAGGAGGAGGAGGAGGAGGAGGAGGGGGAGTAGGAGGGGGAGGAGGGGGGGGCGGTCACGTCACGATTCACGCTGGCGCCGTCTGGGAACGCCTGTAGAATGACTCATCCCCATACGCCCAGACGCTTGGCATCGCTTGGACGTGTGCATTTTTTCTCGGCGAGGACAATCGAGGAGCATCCTGGACCATGGAGCAAACAGAGCACGCGCGAAATCGAAGCATGCACGTGGAGTGGACGTCCGAGCGATGGCGAGAACGGCGCTGGCGCGAGTCGTGGCGTGACCAGGTGGAGGGATGAGGCGCGCGGCGGTCACAGGCGTGATCGCGAAGATGAACCAGCGGGCTCGTGACGGAGAGACGAGGGGGGGTGGAGCGAAAGTTGTTGGTAGAGTTAAGTCCGGCACGTCCCTCTACAGGGGGAAGTTCAAACATAGTCATAAAATAGTCCGGGGACGATTTCTTGAGTCTGGTAAGACTCCTGTCTGGCACTTTCGGAGTATTTTTAATTCTTTCGCCCGGAATCCGCCTGTAGGGGGAACTGCCGGGCATAAGATAGAGCGCTGGAGTGGTGGGAGGAGACGGCAGGCAGGACTGATCGAAGAAGAGAAGCACCTAAACATCCACGTTCGACGGTCCGCGCGGACTTCTCGGATCTGCGCTGGACCCCCTCGGCGGCGCCCCTGGCCTCCTGACGCCGCGCCTGGCGCGCTCCTGCGCGCCGGGGAGGGGGGCCCAGCGCAGATGCAAGGAATCCGCGCGGAGCGCCAAACCAAACGTTTTAAGGTTATGTTTACGTTTCTGTTTCCACACGAGCAAGTCGCGAGCGACCGTTGCCGGGGTGGCCTATGCGTCCAGGCATGTTGCGTCTCAGCATCTCTTCCCCAGGAGGCTGGGAGAGAGTACAGATCAGCCACGCGCAGAGGGGGATGGGGGGAGGGATTCTTAGAAGCACCACTGCTCTCCTTAGAAGGCGCGGGCCGTATCTATAGATGTGAGGCCGGCGCCTTGTGAGAAGCAGCCTCCTGCTAAGAAGCCCTCCCCCTTCCCTCCACCCCCTCGTGCGCGCCGCCAGATTGACAGGAAGGGGGGAGGGAGCGGAAGCTGCGTGGATGGAGAAGGATGGAGAGAGGCTTGTTTGCGGGAGGACCGAGGAGGGGTCTGGTGGAGGTCAGGGGCCACTCTGCGGGTTATGTTCAGGAGGGGAAAAACACACAGACACAATTAATCCTCCACTCCCAGGAAGATATGGGAAAATATGGGGAGTTGGGGGGAAGACAACAATTCAAACAAATATGTGAAAATATGGGGAATCTTTTTATTTGTGTGTATTTATTTGTGTGTCCTAGGGCCCCTTCACACTCTGCGGGTTCTGTGGGGATCGGCTAAGGGGGTGGTGCATATCGGCCGCGGATTGCCCAGTCGTCGCCGTCAGAGGCCCGGTGGCCCACCCCGCCGATCTAGCGGCGGCGTATCGTCCATGCTCCCCCCCTGAGATGATCGCACCCAACGCTTTGTTTCCCCTCGGGAGGGGGGAGGACGGAGTGGCGAGGAAAGAGATGGTGCTGGAGCAATGTATGGATGCAGTGATGGAGGGAGGAACTGAAAGGGGGAAGGGTGCACGATGGAGAGAAGATGGAGATGGAGCCAGAGGGATGGATCGAGGGATGGAGTGATGGGAGGATGTGGGAGGGAGGACTGAGGCGGGATGGTGATAGGAGGGAATGAGGAATTGGATGGACGGATTGACGGACGGAGGTGTTGAAGGGTGGAACTATGGAAGAAGGCGGTGAAGCGGATGATTGGAAAAGGGACGAAGGGAGGAGGGGTGAACGATATTGAGGAAGATGGAGCAGACGGGAAAGTGAAGGCACCATGAATGAAGAACGATGGAAAGATGAGGCAGGGTGGAGCAAGAAGGAAGGGAGATCTGAGGAGGACGGGAACGAGTCGAAGTAGGTTACCAGGATGGCCGAGAAGGAGGGGGCAGAGGGAGGGAAGGAGGAGAGAGGGAGAAAGGAGGCAGAAGGAGGGAAGCGGAAGGAAAGAGGAGCGAGGTAGGGATGACGAGGAGGGGAAGAAGGCCGAGACGGAGGAGGCTAGGAGGACCTCGGTGGCAGAGTTCCTGGGCCTGGAGGTTCACAGAGTCCACGTCCACGCCTGGCTCCGACTGACACGCGGGACGACCGCCTCAGCACGAACGGAGAGGGGGAGCGAATACGAGGTGGGGGGGGGGAAACCTTCTGATTCCATCTTTTAAAAGGTGTTGTGAGACTGTCAGGTTGTCGACAGGAGTGTCAGAGAAGCAGGAGGAGGAGCAAGAGGAGGAGAACGCACATCAGAAGGATGGGGAGGGTTGGGAGGCGGAAAGGGATGATGTTGGTGCTGATGCTGATGCTGATGCTGATGATGATAACTATAATGGTGTTGGCGGTGATGATGATCACGATGAGGACGATGACGATGGCGATGACGATAATGACGATGCTGGAGATGCTGCTGATGATGATACTGATGCTGATGCTGGTGATGATGTTGATGAATCTGCTGATGATGACGACGATGGTAATGACGAGGATGGTGAGGATGATGATGCTGATGCGGATGGTGAGGATGGTGATGATGCTGATGATGACTCTTCTGTTGAGGATGATTATGGCGGAAGCGGTGGTGGTGATGATGATGTTGAAGATGGGGATGGTGGTGATGATGATGTTGTTGATGATGTTGATGCTGATGATGATGATGGTGGTGATGGTGATGCTGCTGATGATGATGATGACGATGATGATGATGATACTGATGATGATGATGATGATGATGATGCTGCTGATGATGATGATGATGATGATGCTGATGATGATAATACTCGTGGTGGTGGCGACGGTGTTGAGGGTGAGGGTGAAGGTGAGGGCGAGACTGATGATGGTGATGATGGTGGTACGGTGATTGATGAGTTGGTTGAGTGAAGGATGATGCAAAGAGGACGGAGGATTCAGAACGGGGACTGGGGAGAACATCTAAGGTGCTTCGACTATCATGGACTATACAGCCATCAGCGTGATCAAGCAGATTACAAACAATTACAAGCTGAAGGGGAAATCGATCACTTTCCAAACGGTGAACGAGAGTAGCGTGAAGCTCATCGAGAAGGCGAATCATTTCGCGAAAGACATCGACTATCTCTGGCGCTTCGCAGCGGCCGCCTGCCTGATCCAGAGGGGCGTAAGTCGTGGGCGGCCCCAGAACTGCCACCGCCACCATGGGGTCGCAAGGGCGGGGCGGCGTGTTTTGGTGCATGCCACGTGGGGTCTGGGCTGGCAGCGACTGCAAAGCATCCCCCAGCGCGGTGCTTCAAGCTTGAGCGCCGCCAGTACTTAAGACCGCACCCTGCGATTACAAATACAGCATCGCGGAAAATCCCAACCAGAATCCTAGACCTCTTCTTCTGCTCCATTTTTCGGGTCGTTCCGACATGTCAGGGCCTCAGGGCCCGACTCGAAAGAATGGAGACGCCAGGATCTCGGGGAAGGTTTGTGGCCGCCAGTGGCCCCGCATCGGCCGCCACCGAACTGGCCGCACTGTCTGGAAGCTGACAACGCTCGAGCTCGAGCGGTCCGCGTGGCGTAGGAGAGGCCCTCTGCCGACGCCGCCACGACATGGGCCCTCCCCGCTCGCACCCCGGGCGCTGGGGGAAACCTTGTCGTGCCGCCCGGGCATCCTCCTTCCTCCTCCTTCTCCTTCTCCTCCTCCGCTTCATCCTCCTCCTCCTTCTGTCCCCCCTCCTCCCCCTCCTCCCCCTCCTCCCCCTCCACACCCCTCCTCCTCCTCCACCTCCTCCTCCTCCCCTCCTACTCTCCTCCTCCCCCTCCTCCACACCCCCGCCTCCCCTCCTCCTCCTCCTCCTTCTCTCCCCTCCTCCTCCTCCCCTCCTCCTCCTCCTCCTCCTCCGCCCTTCATCCTCAACCTCCTCTTCCCCCCCCTCCTCCTCCTCACCTCCTCCGCTCATCCTCCTCTCCTTCGTCCCCCCCCCCCTCCCCCTCCTCCTTCTACTCCCCATTTTATATTCCCTCTCCTCCTCCTCCTCCTCCCTCCTCCTCCTCCTCCTCCTCTCCCCTCTCTCCTTCTTCCGCCTCCTCCTCCTGCCTCCTCCCCCCGCTCCCCCTCCTCCTCCTCCCCCTCCTCCTCCTGCGGGCCGAGCCCATTCGGCCTGGATCCTTCCCCTCCCCCGAGCCGCTCGGGGGGCACCTGCGGCCCACTTCTCCGCCGGGTTCGGGCAGGAAGAGCCCTCAGCGGCATGCGCGGGGGCTCCCCTATCTCCCCTCAGCAACCCCCGCGTCGATCCCCGTATCCCGGTCTTGGGCTTACGAGTGTCCAACCTATTTTTATAGCTTTGACCACCAGGAAGAATCTCGAGCGCCCCCCAAAAAAGTACCGAAGCTCAAGGGTCTTCACGTGTCGGGCCCTGGGAGACACTCGCCCGGCACTGTTTCGGCACTCTTTCGACGCTTTTCCAGGTGCTCGAAATTAGTTCTGGGAGGCGGTCCTGAAGTAGGACGGGAACAACACAATCCTGGGCCTGACCTCCAGGGGCCCGATTGGCACGAAGGTTGGGCGTTGCGTAATAGGGGGGTCATACATGGCGGGGTGGCGAGAGTGGTCCGAAAGGGTGCCCAAACGGTACCTGAACGAGCCCCCTGGGGCTCCGGAGGGGCCCGAAAGGGGCACGAGAGGGACCGTTTAAGACCCCCCCATTTATGACCCCCCCGTTAAGTCACGCCCATATGGATAGCAATTGAGCCTTTTGGAGGCAGATTATAATCCACATCCAGCGCGCCTCATGCTTCTTGGGAAGAGAGTCCGAAACTCCAAGACGCACTGGATGGGGATAAAGACATTGCCCGCAAGGACGGGAGCCACACAATCCCGGGCCTGACCTCCGGGGGCCCCATTGGCACGGAAGGCCCCCCCCCCCCGGCGCCCATGGGTGCCTGCAGGCCGGGCCCGCGCCGGGGCGGCCTCGGCGGGCGGCCGCCTCGCGAGGCCGCGCGAGCTCGGAGCGGCGTCGGCGGCAGCTGTGGCGGCCGGCTCTCGGCGGCGGCCGACGCCGGTGGCCATGGTCGGCGCGAAGCCTTCCCTGATCTGCACGCGCGCAATGGGTACTGAAAGAATGGGTACAATGCCCAACAGCAGTTCCTGTTCATTTTGGACAGGAACTGCTGTCCGCGCCGCCGCGGCCTGTGTCCACTTGAGACAGGAGGCCGCCTGCCCAACAGCGGCCGCTGATGGTTTGGGACAACATTTGTTGTTGGGCATTGTTACCATTCTTTCGGTACCCATTTCGGGTGTCCAAACCTGAGGTCCTCGGGTGCGCGCAGGGAGGGCCCGTGTCGTGGCACCCCCCGCGCCGATCCCAGTGCCCGGACGTGCTCGAGTCGTGAAGGAGTCGGGGCAGCTGCTGGTTTCTCACAGGTTTCGGCTCCTGGGGGGCTCTCGCCAGACCCCGCCACCATGAGCGAAAACGACTCGCGATGAGGAACCGGTCCAGGGGGGGGTCTGGGACTTTGGGAACCGCGAGCTGAAAAAATCAGGCCGTCGAAAGTCTGGGAGTAGATCGCTCCAGAGCGTACCAGAGCGCTTGCAGTGGCGCCCGATGCAAGCCTCCACCAGGCTGCCGGATCTCAGAGACCCCCGATATGCCTCAAGATTTTGTTGTATACCACACCCTCCTCGCCCCAGTCAGATTCTACCACCCGGGCCACAGCCGTTCTGGCTCAGGCCTTTGTGGCGCTGAGCGTGCAAGCGCGTGCTTCAGAGTTGCGCGTGCCTGCGAGCCCTCTGGTTTTCGTTCACGGTCGCCCCGCCCGCCGCGGCCTGCGCGGGGCACGGGGCCGCAGCTCGATGCTTTTTTCCAGGCGTCAAGATGCCCCTGTGGGGGTGCCCCAAGCGCGGCTGCTGGGACAATTGGGCATCCTATCAAGTGCAGGTCGTGCAGTGCCAGTGCGCCGTTCCAGGGTCGTCCAGGCAGCCCGTGCTGCGGCAGCGGCGCGGGCGCCCACAAGAATTGGGCATCGGGCGCCATGGGGAGTTTGGGCACATGGGCCACCGACCGGAGGAGATGCTCAGGCCAAGCTCATCAGCAACAAGTGGCTCAACGTGAGGGCAGGTCGCCTCCATGGTACGAGCAGTATTCCCCGACCAGCACGGGCACAAAGGAATTGCCTTACTTGGCAGTGGTACAGTTCCTCAAGCGCGAGGGCCTGGACAGGGCGAGCGTCGAGGAGGCATTCAAGGAGAAGTCAGAGTTGGATACGACGGCGCAGGCGCCATCAGCGAGGACAGCTCGCTGGGAAGTGGAGAACTTGCGGGCCAAGGTCACCAAGCTGAAATCCAACATGGTTGACGTTCCGAAAGCAGCGCAAGGAGCTGGAGAAGGAGTTCGCGGAGGTCGGCAGCACGCTGGGCGCCTGCAGGTCAGACTTCGGCGAGGCGGAGGAGAATCGTTTCCGCGAGCAGGCCGAAAGGAACGCCGAATCGATGAAGGCAGCCACCGCGACCCTTGACGACAGAGTGGCCCAATCACAGCAGGGTCTCGCGGCGCTGGCCACGCTCCAGCGCCTGCATGCCGCATCCGCGGAGGCCATGCGGGTGGAAGCTGCCGCACCTACCGCTGCTGCCGCTGCTCCTCTTGGCGGCGTTCAGCCACCTGCAGGCGGCGGAGCCGAGCATGTGGTCGCCACCGACGGAGACGGTGATGACGTCGACATGGAGCTGCTCGACGGTGACGACTCGGTAGAGCGCCAAGCGGCGTTCGCCTCTGCCCCAGTTGATTTCATGGCCGCCACTGTTGCCAAGCCTGCCTTGTGGAAGCTGCCCACAGGGCTCACCTGGCAGCAACGGGAGCCCTTGGGGCCAAGCCGGCCAGACGGCCGTCCCCCTCCACGCCACCGTCGGCATGGCTACCCTCCAGCGCCGGTAGGGACACAACCAGGCGGGCGCTGAGTGGGGGCAGCGTTGGCCTTCGCATTGCTAGTATGCCGTCCTGGGCGCATGTTCGATTCGGAGCTGCATCGAAGCCTCCACGAGAGCGCAGCCACCCCTCGGCCAAGAAAGCCAACGGAGAGGCCTATGGCACGAGCGCGCATAGTTCGGGGCCGTCGCCTAGGTCATCTCCGTGGGCAGGTGCACTCGCCGCTCTTGTAGAGTCCGAGACGCCCTGCCAGATCACGCCCATGCCAGGCTCGGATTCGCGGGGCGAGCCCCTGGACCAGCGCGCGGTAGTCGGGCAGGGGGAAGCAGCGGAGAAGCGGCAGAGGTCGCCGCATGAAATACCTGAGCCGCGCCAGGGCCAGGTACCAGGGCGTGGTGCTGCTGGTGAAGCAGGCGCGTCTTCTCGATCACCATCTGCCCCATACGGAGCCGCGCGCGGCGTCGAAATGCGCGGTCAAGATCAACCAGTCCAGGGGGTAGTGTTTGTACATATATATATATATATATATATATATATATATATATATATATTCATAACGCCCGACATGGACAGTGTCGAGGCGTAGGTGTGAGACCACCTGCGGCCATCCGAGGATCACGCGCCCATGCATCGAAAGCCACCACCTGCCATCTACGGTTGATTCAACTGGCTGGATACTTCCGAGAACGGCGATCGAGCGCCCGCCCCCAGCGGGGGCCCGCCTAGCGCGGCGTCCGTCGTATCGCGGCGCGCTCGGTAATGTCATTCGCGGGCAGGTGACGCGCTTGAAGACCGACGCGAAGCTTCACCAGGCCTACTCCAGGAGCAACCAACGCTGCCGGGACCTGAGCCCAGGGGCCGCCCACGCGAGGGTAGACGGTGCCAGCGTGAGCTCGGCAGGTGTCGATCTGGGCGTGGTCCGTCGATCGCTTCGTCGCCCTTGTCGCCGGCGTTGCCCGGCGGTTTCAAGTCGCGCGTCTCTGGCCGCGCGCCGAACGCCGTAACGCAGGGCCCCGTCAGACCCGACAGTGATCTCCGCCAGTTTCTACACCGGCATCGGACTTGAGGGGCTCTTCCTGGAGATGCTAGATCGTATGCGGCAGTGTCTTTCCAGGGCCAGAGTCTTCGGATCCGGGCCGACTGGAAAACTGCCCCGTCAGAGCTGTCGCCGCGCAGGCGGCCTGACCGAGCGCGCGGCTCAGTCCCCGCTTCGGGCAAGCCCGCTCGCAGGCAAGCCGTCGCTGGAGGCGACGGCGCCGCGGACGAGGACGCCCGGGCCTCGTGCAGTGGATGTCGCTTTGATTTCGCGAGAGGAGGGCCGGCCACGCGCGCCCCTCACGACGGGGCGCCCGCGCGCCGCCTTGCCCCCGATCGAGCGGGACACTTCCTCCAGGCATGCAGAGGACGCGCGCCGAGTCGCTTCTCCTCCTCCTCCTCCTTCTCCTCCTCCTCCTCCTCTTCCTCCTCCTCCTCTTCCTCCTCCTCCTCCTCATCCCCCATAGAGAACTTCTCACCGTCGCACCTCGAATGAAGGGCGGGCCGTTTTCAAAATGTGGTTATCGCTTTCGCGTCGCGCACATTCGTTCTAAAACTTTGCATGAGCTTCACGGAGTGAGGGCGGTTCCTTTTCAAATTGCTGCTCTCGGCTCAGCGCCTCGCGCAATCGTTTTTTTTATACATTCGCAAAAGCTTCACGGATTGAAGGCAATTCCTTTTCAAAATGTTGTTTTTGGTTTAGCGCCGCGCACATTTGTTTGTTAAAAATTGCAAAAGTTTCACGGGTTATTCAGGAGCACGAGGGTGCAACAGTTGCGTTGGTTCGCGGTGTTGATGTCCCAGAAATGGCTTCCTGTCACGATTCAGGATGGTCAAGACGCAACCGTCAGGTTGATCCGTTATGTTGGGATCCAGAGAGTAATGTTTTGGCATGCGTCAGGATCTTCAAACGGTTGCTTTCCAACGAGGCAGTTTTGTTCAGTGGAATGGAACCTTGGTAGTGGCCTATGACCAAACATTGGAGGGCGGGTTTATTCCAACATCGTTGATGACTCCTGGGTTTACAGTGATCCTCCTCCGCCTGCTTTTTCTGCTCATCCTGCTCCTCCTCCTCCTCCTCCTCCTCCTCCTCTCCTCCTCCTCCTCCTCCTCCTCCTCCTCCTTCTCCTCCTGCTCCTAGTCCTCCTCGTCCTCCGTTCCTTTTTTATTAACAACTTCTCCCTGTCGCACCCCGAGTCTAGTTTTTAGGCTGGGGTGGGCGTTTCGCCTGAGACATCCTCACCGCTTATGGCGCTGAACTAAACTGTTGTTTTTTCCCGCGACAGCGGTCAGAGAGAGCATGCAGGTTCAAGCTGACGCGTCGGCGACCCCCTCCAGCGACTTTGCCCTGTCACGCTCGACTTGTGGGCGGGGGGAAGTGGGTGGGCGGGGCGAGATGCTCGAAACTTTCGGGCTGACCGTCGAGGGCCGCCCGCGAGTGGTCGCGATGGGCCGCGGAGCGATCCAGCAGGCGTCGGCCGCGTTTGAGGAAGGTGGTTAGTTTTTTCTTTGAATTGCCACTAGGGCCAACCCGTGCCGAGCCGAACCATCTTGGATCACGCGCAGCACGTCACCGCGCCCCGGGGAGGGACATTTGCAGCCGACAACTCGACCAGGACGCCCCACCCATGGGTTGTGGGTGTAGTCTATGAGGTTTTCGGGAGGCGATCTCAGGCCCAGTCCTTTGCGCTTGGTGCCTTCTCGTCTTGGGGCGGGCCTGCCCGGAACGGGCGGGCCGGCGGGCAACAAGGCGGGGGCCACGCGCGCCCTCGAGCTGGACGACGTGCAGCTCCAGGACGTCGCCGCGGGTTTCCAGGCGCCCGCCGGCACGCGCGCGCGCGCTGGCAGTACGACGCGTGAGCGGCGCAGAGCAACGAGTCCTACTGCGCCGCCGTGTTCGCGTAAGCTGTCCGCGGAAGGTCGCGCGCAAGCGCGTCAACCCTCAGCGGAAGGTCACTATGTCCCCTCGCGCCAAGCTCTGGTGCTGGCCCAAACGTGCCGGACATGTTTCCCAGTGGTCGCTGGTGCGATGCAGCAGAAGCACGCGCAGAAGGGGGCTGGGGGGCATGGGGAAGGCTTCCTAGCAACACCGTTACTTTTTCGAAGGCGGCGGCCTCATCAGTAGACGGAAGGCCGTGAGGATGGTGTCTTGTGAGACGCGGCTTCCTCTTGAGAGACCCTCCCCCTCTCTCAATCCCCCCTTTAATTCGCGCCGCCAACAAGAGTCACTGATGTTTAGGAGCACGCGCACGTGGCAGCGAGGCAGCCCGCCGGGCTGCGTGTCGGAGGCGCCCGTGGCGCGCGGCCTGGTCAAGGTCAGCGTTACGGGGGGGACGTGCTCAGAGGGGGCGACGCTGCGCAGTGGCGGGTGCGGAGGGAGAGATAGGGCAGGTTTAGAAATACCCCTGTTTACTCTTCCCCAGGGTCACGCCAACGTGTCGGCGAGGGCGCCTAGGAGAATCCCCCCTCCCCCCTTCCGTCCACCCCCTCGTGCGCGCCGCCGAGTTTTGGAGGGGGAGTCTCCGACCGTGTGCGGGAGTTGTTCTGCAGTTTTCGAGTCTTGGGAGTAGTTTCCATCAGCTACGCCTAGTCGATCGCGTTCTGGGGGTTTTGTGTTCGTCCCCAGTTGTGGCCCAAACGCTGGGGAGCGGACGGTCAGGGGCCACGTCCGGGGGGGATAGTGCCCCGACCCCAATCACCCATTTATCGCCGATGCGGGCCTTCGAGCCCGCCCCGCCCAAGGCCCCAAGTTGCCCTCGATTCCCAGTGGGGGGGGCATCCGGGAACACTGAAATGCACACAGGTGGAACCCGTACGATTGCCAGGCGCCCCCCGCTCCCTTGCGTCTCCGCCCGCCCGTGCCCCGCTCCCATCTCCCCCTCTCCCCGTTCCACCTCTTCCCTCCTCGTCCCCCCTCCGCTCCGTGGCCCTCCTCCGTCCCTCGCGGCTCCATTCTCGTGCTCGCGCTCGCTCGCGTCCTTTGCCGCTGCCGCCCCTGCCGCTCGTGGCAGTTTTTCGTTGTGTTCCCTGTCCGCTTCGCTGTCTCCTCCTCTTCCTCCTCTTTCCTCCTCCTCTTCCTAGGCCGTTGGCTGAGGATACGAGCATAGCCCGACCGCACTTCATGCACAATTGTACACCAGCGGCTTCGCGCCGCCACCCCAGGGGCAAGGTGGCTTGGGGAGCAGACGTGGTTCTCGTCGCTTGCTGTTTCCCGTGGCCATGCGCATATGTTATTACAGCCCCCTTGAGGACATCAGTTGCGAGCTCCGTAGTTGGGACGTTTTCCTCCCCAATGGCACGTGCAGATGGGTGGGACCAGAAACACTACAGACACAGGCTCCCGTATCACGACGTCTACAGTTCGGGACAAACACGGGGAAGAGGGCGAACAAAGGCTGGCGAATTGCCATACATACCTATACGACCACCCGCGGGTGATAAAACGAGATTGGGGGGGAGGCGGCCAACAATGGGCAACAGTGGTGATTGTTGCTCTGACGATGCCAGTGGAGATTGTTGCATCGCCGCCTTGTTCCAACCGGTAGGCCAACATCTTTTTGAAGTCGCAGTACCCGACAAAATTGATCTTACCATTTGCGCCTTCCGTCGGCTCGGTCAGTAGACACATGGTCTCTGTCGAGATCACTTTGAAAACCTGAACGGTTAGCACATTATTTTCGTCGAGGGACGTCACATTGGTTTCCTTTTGGCCGCGCACCAGCAGCCACACCCGGTTTGCACCGATATTTGTTGCCACGGTCGCGGCAGACTGCCAGACCTCGGAGCGGATTTTCGACGATGCGACTCACAGGCACCGGCATAACGACATCGCCGGACACCGCGGAGAGGCCGCAGCACATACGCAAGGCATTCGTGGAAATCATTGCGTCCAGAGGCGCGATGCCCACCTCCATGATGCATCGCTTGGCCGCCCCGTTCTCCTGGCGGAGAATGCCCCGAAAGTTGAACCGGTGCTTGGCGCCTGTCAAGGACTGGGCGTCAAGCTGGGCCGCCACCTCGTCGGGAGTCGAGCAGTCGGAGAGTGTCTGGGCGGCATCGGTGACCACGTCTACGCCCACCCCCTAGGTGCCATCCCGAAGACGGCACTTCTGGAGGAAGAGGCGGCCGTCTTGCGCGTGCATCGTGTCCCGGTGCAGCGGCGCGTGTAGGAGACACCAGTTGATCTGAAACGCGATGGGCTGGGGGTGGGCAATCGCGTCGGCCAGAGCCACAGCGCACGTGGAGCGCGCCGCGGCCTCGATGGCACTCGCTAGACCGGCGCCGGAAGACGGCGCCCACTGTGCGGTGAGCACCTCTGCCGACGCCTTGGTGGCGTTCAAGCCTGTCAAAGACAGCCTGATCTCCCGCGGTGCTGATGTGGCCCCCTGGCCAGATGTTGATCTTCACCTCGCCGTTCTCAAGCGCAGCGCTGCATTAGAGCACAGCGACGCCAGACTCCGGGCGCACTTGGGCGAAGTACTCGCGCGCCTTTTGCCGCGCGGTCACCGCGATTTTCCCGCCGCCGGAATCTGCGAACTCCGCGTCGGCCATCATTGGGAAGTCGCTGTTCTTAGTGGCTTTCGTGGAAGTGCCGATGCGAGGGAACTTGCCGCAGAGGTCGAACGCCGCCCGCCGAGTTGCACCAGTGGCATTTCCCTTGGGAAGCTCAACGATGCCCGTGATGTCCAATGCGATCTGCAGCCCCTTAGCGGGATGCGCCGACGCTTCCGGGCTGGCGGGCGCTGCTCGGGTCAGCGTGGATGGCTGCAAAGCAAGAGCACCGATGTCAACGGGCCGCCGACGAAGTCCGATTTGGTTCTGGCGTCGAAGCTCGGGCACCCGCGCGGAGTCTGCCGCGACAGGCTTCGACTGCGGCAACCGGATTCTGGAAATTCAAGGGCAAAGCGCCGAGCATGCATTGCGCGGGCGCGTTCGACACCCAAGCGCAACTGAACCTCTGCGTCTCCACTTTTTCGTTCCTCGCTGTGAACGCGTAGTCGAGGACCTTCGGATCGAGGGCCTTCGCGCGCCACTTGGCGCACTTGGCCGTCTGGGCGTTCGCGCCCTTCAGTGTTTCCGCATTCTTGTCGAGCATCTCGGCTGGCAAAGCCTGGCCCCTCGTGGCGAGGCCGAAGGAAGTGCGCGACCGAAGTGGGCGCTGTCGCGGCCCCCCCGCGCGCCGAGTGCAATGGAAGCCTCGGGCCGAAATCCCTGAGCGGCATGAGTGTTGAGGGGGGGGGGGGGGGGGGGGGAGGGGTGGGGGGGGTGGGTGCTCGAGCGTCTCAACTCGATCGATATCCCAACGTCGAAGTTCGACTATCGCTCTTCACTATCGATCTCACTCGATCGATCGCACTGTCGATCTCATTCGATCGATCTCATTACCGATCTCACTATCGATCCCACTCGATATGGGCGCGTTGGCGTTCAGAGATAGTTGCGTTTCGGGCTCGCTCTTGGGGGCCTTGGTGTCGAGTTGTTGCCGTCACCCTCAGCTCTTGGGCGCCCCGGCGCCCCCCCCCCCCCCCCCCCCCCCCCCCTCCCACCCCGGGATCCGACGACATAATGCATTATTTCGTTCATTTAGCATGGGATTGTCGGGCAGTTTGGGCCCGTCTTTTGGGCCCCTTTGGGGGAATTTCGGGGGCCTCTTGGGGGCCCTTTTGGGTTTCTTGGGGCCCCCATGGGGCCTCCCGGGAGCTTCTTGTAGCGACCCTTAAGATCCTGTTCCGCCAACGTTCGCACTGGGGCCCTTGGTGTTCAGAGATTGCTGCGTTGCCGCTCGCTCTGGGCACACCGTGCAGCACGGGATGTCGATGCGCCTAACGATTTGCATGTGCTTACCGATGTGCATATCGACTTGCTTTCCGAGATGCATGTCGATTCGCATCTCACGATCGGTCTCACGATCGATCCCGCGATCGATCTCAACATCGACCTTGCGATCGATCTTACTCGATCGATCTCACTATCGGTATCGCTCGCTCGTGTTCGCTGTCGATATCACTCTCGATTTCGTTCTCGATCCCACTACCGATCCCACTATCGATAACTATCACTCCATCGGTCTCACTATCGATCTCACGATTGAGTTCACTCCGTCGATCGCACTATCGATCTCTCTATTGATCTCACTCGATCGATCTCACTATCGATCTTATTCAATCGATCGCACCATGGACCCCAATATCGCTCTCACGATCGATCCCACAGTTGATATCACAATCGATCTCACTTTACCGATCTCACGATCGATCTCACTATCGATGCCACAACTGATCTCACAATCGATCTCACCATCGGCCCCACTGTCGTTTTCGCACCAGCGGGGCACCGGGACACCAGCGGGGCGCTCGCGGAGCAACGGCGGGGCACCGCGCGGCCCCGTCTGCCGGTCGGGGAAAATTTGGCCCGGCCGCGCACACGAGACTTACGGGGGCACCAGCGGGGCACCAGCGGGGCACCGGCGGGGCACCGCGCGGCCCCGTTTGCCGGGGGGGGGAATCATGTGGTCCGGCCGCGCCTCAGCCACGGGAGACTTCCCTCTCGCCCGCCCGCGCGGCTTCGCGTCGCCCGCGCGCGCGGCGCGCGCGAACGCGAAACCGAAACCGATTTCCTGGCGGGGAGCTCTCCGTTCCATTTCGATCTCGCCCTCCAACCTCCGACTACTGATCCGCTGTCTACATCGGCCCAATGTAAGTTCCTGGAATTTTCATCACGACGCTGGCCGGCGGAAGTCGACGGAAGTAAAGCGAGGCGGAAGACGGGGGAAGGCCGCCGGAAGGCTTGCCAATGTCAGCGGAAGTAAACGACGCC